CACTGCCTGAACAGACACTCACATTGTGTGAACAGACACTCCCTTTCTGCACGAACAGACACACTGACTGCACGTACAGACACACCTATATCTGGGCAGACATGACATGTATACCTCCTGACGAACAGGTATGTCCCTTGTGAATGACCTTTGCTTTAGTTTAGGATGTGCCTTTTGATATAGAACTGGACCTTTGACCTGCTTTCACGTTTCTGGGTCCTGGCGAGATACCCCTTCACGATGCTTTACTTTCACAAGGCCTGTATCAGGTAAAGGCCCTTTTATAATTATACTGACCCATTGACTGACCGATTGACAAAAAATTGGACCATTTCTCGATTTATGCATGTCATCCTTGTGCAGGGCCCATGCTAATCTTCTGCATACCATTCCAATTTTAACGGATGTTCCAGAGGACTCACAGGAGAAGATTCAAAGGCTCAAGAGAAATGGATGCAAGAGTCAAATCCCATCTTGCCCCCCGTCTCCAAAAGATCCTCCTATACAATCACCCATACTCAGATTGAAGTTGAAGTTTTAGCTCACGCAAAGGAACACAAACTATCCCACCTGCCATCGCCTCTCCCTAGTGGCTCACAGATCATTTTTTGGCTTCCACAGGGTCACACAGTAGCAGTCCCAAGCGCAATTGAGGGTCTCTCATCTGTTGTGGGGACTGAAGTATTCAAACACTATTGCTACACTTTCATGTTATTAATCAAAGTCAATAAATAACAAGTAATTCAAGAAGATACAAATCTATTCATTGAATAATATTATTAATATATTAATAAATTATTAAATTATAATAATTCAATTCAATGATTTTCCATTTATTAAAAACAAACAAACAAAAAGGTCCTTATGGTCCTGGCTCCATATCCATTCTGGGGAGCGACAGCCCGGTTCCTATTCCTCCGGCAAGTCAGAATGAAGGATTATATCATGAACACCCTCACGCTTCCTTCCGTCTGACCGAAGGATCCCTGACCAGCATTGATTGCCCCGATACCGGAGGATTGACTGTCAGCTTGCCTTTCATCTACCTAAGTTTCCTCTCAGGTCCACTGTCTGAACCTGCCAAAAAAAATTGCCTGAAGAAGAAGAACAAGAAAGATAAGAAGCCAAGGCAACCAACTTGCAATCTGACATTTTGCCCTTGAAGACTATGCAGCCTGTGTTAAGACTTGTACATCTGTTTGGCTGACCTCACTGACTTCTCCACTCGACTTCCGAGTTGTGTAAGTCCTTCCACCGTACGTTGGAGTTCTTTAACTCTGCCACTTTGCCACCTGCCAGCCAAACCTTAGCGAATTTCGCTACAATTTCTCCGCCGTTGGTACGCATCATCTGGCAAAGAAAGTCTTCTTTTGTGCCACTTGCATAAAATCTCTGCTTGAATCGAGGTCCTTGTCTCCGCCCACACCTCCTCCCTTGGAGTGGAACGACCCTCACTGGTTCTGGAACACCTTTCCTTCCAGATGGCCCGCATCGCTACCTTCCTCATCATTCCAAACCGGGTCCCCTCTGTCTTGTCGAATCAGGCAGGGATGTTAGTCCATAGGAGGAGGTGGATGGGGTGTTCAGGAAAGGACTCCAAGTTGAGAAGAGGGAGTTCCAAAGGTCTGATGCCCTAGCCCAGTACTCTGTCGCTTCTCTACAACGTATATTAGGCAGTGAAGCGTATCTTCTGGTTCATTAACCGAACAAATTATGCATGATTCTGCGCTGTCAGGGTCGTTCTTGTGTCTTCGGATGTGCAGCCATTGGTTGACCGGGCAGCGCCACATACGAGATTAGCTATTGGAGGCTCCTGATTTTGACCGGCCTGATTGATTTGGACTTTTTCCAGGGTATCCGAGAAATCTGACTAGCGCCCTGCCCGATTAGTTTGGGCCATCTATTTCTAATTGTGGGATCCGGATCCTTGGTCTTGAGGAGTAGATTATAACCCAGTTTGACTGAGTGGTCCTGGATGTGGATGTTTGTTTTGACATTTTTGCTTCTTTCTGGTGTCCAGGCCCATTCTGCTGGGTCAAATTCCAAATCCTGAATTGTCGTATCCATTCTGCATTATATTGTTTTGTCCCATGATCCCAAGACTCTTTCTTTCCTAAGAACAAACGGATCTAGGACTGTTCTTTCCACGTCGCTATTCAGAATGGACGAGGAGCCATGAACTGATGACGTGATTGGAAAGGAGGTAAACACAGCCAGTCTATCCGACCCCTGCTGTTTATGAGAAAATTGGTAAGCTCTTGAGGGGGGCAATTCCTGCACCTGGACTCCCCATTCCCCAGATTTCCAAGTCGACGCTTCACTCAACAGCTCCTTCCCGCCTTCCGAGATGTACTTGATGACAGTTTGCCCATTCTCCTCACGCCAATGACATCCCTTAAGGCAGTTGGCAAGTTCCAGGTCAGTCGACCAATCTTTTCTCTCGTCATCCCATAGATGACTCACTTCCCAAACTCCGTGTTTTAATCACGAAGGCCATCGCGTAGTTCTTGGTTTAAACTTTAAACCACTAGTACCTTTACCGTCCGGTTTCGACAAGTGCGAGGCTCAAGGCCTCGGTAAGCCCTTTCTGGGCCCTGTTTCAGCAAAGTATGGCCGCCCTAAGTGAAGGCGGGCCTGACGAGTGACAAGAGGCCTATTTTGTGTTCAACGCAACTGGGGGCGGAAATTCAGGCAGTTACGCAGCGTCAGTTGGATGAGTCCGCCCAGGCCCTGCCTACCAATATCTTGGGCCTCCAGGCCGTTTTCTGAATGTAATGGGTGAAAGCCTGATCCAGCAATACCGCGTGAGTGAAGAAGGGGATTTATCTTGTAAAGCTCTTTCATCAGTAGTGAGATTATGACAAAAAACGAAGAAGAATCCCCGTCCGCCTGACAGTTGGACACGGGTAACCTCCCAGGCCGTGTGGAAGATTCCTGGAGACTGGGGCTCAGCCACTTGGGGCCTACCGGAAGCTTCCGGGGATGGCCCAGGCCAGTCAGGCAGCCGATGACTGCCAGCCACTTTCCATAAAGTAAAGGGCCTGGCCGCTGGCCAGACATTCGGGCACTCGCTGCTTATGCGCAAGCGCTGCTGCGCCAGCTGCTGAAGCGAGTGCCTACCCGCTCACGGGCGAGCAGGGTGGACGCAGGCAGCCATAGCCGGGCTGGCCTGCGCATTGCTGGATGGTGTGCATGGTAGTCTTCGGGTGCATGTGGCATCTGTGTGGAGGATCGAGGTTGTGAGTGAAGCAAAGGACATACCTGGTGCTTGATGCGAACGGCATTGGCCGAGATCTGCTCGTACTTCGGGAAGCTGTTGACGTCACCAGAGACATTGTACATAGGCTAGATAGGATCTGCCATTTGTAGACTGGGCGCTGAGCGCCAGATAGGGAATCGACATTGGCTCATTGATGATGATGACGAGACTATGCCAACATTGTCATTTCTGAGCTTTGTTGTGCTCTTATTTGGTGTAACTCAAGTTGCAATTCTGCTTTTGTGTTGAGGTCAAGACTATCTGGTTCAATGTCTATGATGCGGCTTGGTTTCTGAATTTCGCTATCGCTCATTTTTCTTGCACAAGTTTTAGCCTAGTCCCGAACTTTTAGGAGGCCGGGCTAAATCTGATCGGCGGCCATCGTTTTGTTTCAGCCTCCTGAAAGGTCGGAGGCCCACTATTTTCCGAACCGACAAAGGTACTAGTGCTTTAAGAGGAGGTTTAAGAGAAAGCGGGTGGCCGCTTTCATCTCTCACCCACGGGTTGCCGAACACAGGTTGCCTCAATACCTCCTCTTTGGACTTGGGTTTGCCCATCTTCTTCAGCATGATTTTCCACCATATCCGAAGCAGGGCAGTGCAATAGGGTGTAGGGGGTCTGACATCATTTGGGCAAGCTCCTCTTTGTTGATTTCTACGACCTGTGTTTGGAGTCCATTCCTTGTTCATCACCCAAAATAAACCAGACACGTTCGCTGGTGTCGCTGTCGGAGCTAAACCTCTGATACTGTCCAATGCCACCTTATTCCACGTTGTTCCTGATTTGGAGAGCAGTTCGACGATCCATTTGACTTGTTTAGGGTCTATGATACCCAGGAATAACATGGAATAAGCTGCTCAACATGACAAGTCAAATGGATCGTCAAACTGCTCACCAAACTTCTCATGCCATTTATAACAAAACCCAACAACAGTCATTTTAACCAAACTTGCCACCAATTCATAGAGTGTAGATCATACGAACTACTGACAGGGAAAAAAATGAAAGAAAAATTTATAAAGACGTATTAAAGACCATTAAAAAAAAAAAAAAAAAAAAAAAGACTTTTGGAAAAAGGATAAACATGTTATCATAGATATTAGACAAGTATATGCTATTATGCATGCATATAGCTATGCTGATATAATCAAATAGAACTGCGCCGGAGGGAGAAGAGGACAACAGACGAGGGGCTGTGACAGACTGTTTCATTGGAGTTTTGCCGACTCATGAGTATGCTGAACACTCTACAGTCTGCAGAGCGCAGAGAGGGAGAAGAGGATAACAAACGAGGGGCTGTCGATTGCTGTTTTTTTGGGTCCTTTTCACCAGGGCAAACGGATGTCAACATACCTGGTTAAGCTTTTCCTTAAGATCGCTTACTTCAGCTTCCAGAAGGGAGATTGTATGGGAATCCATGCGCTGCCTCTCCTCGTGTTTGCTCAGGATCTGAAGTGTGGCAACCTGGAGCATTTCATCACCATAATCAGATTCAAGTTTTTTCTTTCACATGAGTCACATTTAACTTTTACTGGATTTCATATTTTGAGACATTTTCTATAATTGTTTTCCGCTACGAACTAGCATGAGCTTATTTGCTCAACACAGTCACATTTTCCTTCAAACTGTTCGAGAGGCTGTGCTTTCAGCGTGCAATGTAAAGCCTCTACACGCCCCAAGGTTTGTTGATGAGGTCAGGTATCATCAGACTCATCAGAGTCATCGGACATATCTCTGGCATCATACACGCACACTGATGGGACCACCTTCCCATGCCACCTTTGTTTTGTTTTGTTTTGTTTTTGTTTTGTTTTGTTTTGTTGAAGAGGGAAGACCCTAATGTTATCGTAGCCATCTGATTCCATCAGAATTCAAACTCATGACCTGCTCGTCAACAGTTACATGACATTGTGTACCATTGAGGGGCATCCACCAACCTGTCAAAAACCACCTTGAAATAATTAATTTAGTATTTACAAAAAAATTGAAAAAATGCTGTAGAATCATTCATACTAGAATGCCGTTAAACCACAAGTACGTTTCGCAGCCATTTTCTCAGAGTCGCGGGCGGTGTGCACGCTCCCGCGACTCTCGGGAAGTACCGGGGCAACGTGTCTCGCTGGTCATCCATCAGGCAAAAAGAGGCCTCGCATGCGACCTGTTTTAGCCTGGATGGATGCGCCAAGAACAGCATCCCGGTACTTCCCGAGAGTCTCGGCAGCATGCATGCACGACTCAATGGCTGGGAAACGTACTGGTTGTTTAAATGAAACCCATGGAACTGGGAATTTCTCTAACCCAATGCTGCTGATCCATCCATGAATCTTCCGACATACGTAACGAGAACTTCTCGGTGGAGACAGACAAACAGGTAAGACTGCTATCGGTACTGAATAGTATTGATAGTATTTTTCTAATACCATAATATTGAATTAGAAGAAGATCAATCCAAAAGGTGCCTCCGAGAAAGAAAAGATGATATATGATCCAAAATGCTCCAAAATGTAAACTGATTGTTCAGGACGGTTTCTCACACCAACGCAAGCAATGAGCCAGAAAGGGGAATTTATTCCCACAAAATGTTGTATACATTTTGGCAGAGAGTGGCGTAAAATGGAAAAACTCCATCCTTCAGAGCATCCGTTAAGTTGGAACGGTGCAGAAAAGATTGGCATGGCCACTTGTGACCTTGTGAAGGATGGTTTTTTTTTTTTTTTTTTTTTAAAGAGAGAAGTTCAGAGAACAAAAAAGAAAAAATACCGCATGATATAGCGGTATAACAGCCCTCTATCTTCTGTGTTTGGAGCCACTTCCTCCTAGAAATTGGAATAGCACTGACCATAAATTATTAAATTGAAATAAATTCATAATTTTATTTTTTACAATCAATAACAAGGGCAGGCCCTCTGTGGCCATGCCACAGTGCAAGTGGATAGGCCAGTAACGTGATCTTCCCTCCCCCCCCCCTCCCCCCCCTTTTCTTTTGGGAGCCAAAGCTCAAGGTTGCTTTGGGCATGGTGGTTTCCTCCTGAGGCTCCATCTATTGCTGGGAACCACGGGTACAAAACAGGGTCTGTGTGGCTGTGTTTCTGATGTGATGTGATGTGGTTGTGCGTCATAAACTGCCACGCGAACAACCTTTTCTTCGCCCAGATGAGTAGAAACAGCCTTACCTGTCAATCTTTTTTTTTTTTTTTTTCCAGAAAAACAGGGCCTTCACCTTACAATCTTCTATCAACTAATACGTGATATAACGACCCCCCCGACACTTTGTACACCATGAGAGAGCCAACACACCGTCCCATAGAACACCCATACATTCTGAGCCCCCGACTCAGACAGAACACAGAGCTGCAAGGTCCATCATTTCTGTGTGCTATACACCCATTCGATTTTGAGCACACCGTGCGGTTCTGCACGACAGAAGGGAAGAGGGGAAGGGGACGGACAGAAAAGAGGGAACACATGGGGAGCGGAGGGAGGAGAGGAGCAAGGGGCCAGAGGAACCTCATAGGATCCTCGATACCCTTCGGCAGAGCAGACTGCTAGAGACTGGCGTGAGAGGCCAGTCAGGGGTTGCGTTGCAGAACAAATGGGCTGAAGAGCAGCCACCCTTGCAAACTGCACAGGACCAATTTCGGTGTGGACTGTGAAAGCACTGCATCCACTTCTTGCAGTGGCAGTTGCTGTATAGAACAACATGGTGCAGACAGATGCCACAGGCAACATGGCTCCCACCTGCTAGGAATACGGAGGCATGGCGACCGTAGTTGTATGGGCACCTGTGTACGAATAGGACACGACATGTGCGGGTATCGGACATAAGTGCAATGTTGACTGTCACCATAGGTATGAAAACAATAACTTGCATGGGCTATACCCTTATAATCCTCACGAGATGAAGAATGGCGATTGCATGCCACCAGCCAAACATCAGGGCGGTCATCACCCCGCAGCATTGACGACGTTTCTTGGGAGTCCACAGCAGGCATTGCCTGCCTATGAAAAGGTGACGACGGTGACTGTCCTCATAGATATGAAAACAATAACTTCCCTGAGTTAAACCCTCGTAATCCTCACAAGACGAAGTATGCCGATTGCACGGCAGCCAAACATCAGAAAGTTCATCGCAGTGCAGCATTAGTCAAGTAACTCCAGTTCGATTGGGAATCCACTGCTGACATTGCCTGCCTATGGACAGGCGATGATGAGGCCTGATCCAGCGTAAGTACCTTTAGCTGTTGCAAGATCTGGTCTGCAACTGCTTGCCCTGGTGGCGAAAACTTTCAACAAGCCACACTGACTCATGTGAGTAATTGCTGTCTACCTCAGGCTGCTGTGTCTGTTTCTCGTCTGGCGAGACATCGGAGATAATCCACATAGTAGAGACAAATACTCTCCATGACAGCTTCCTGAAAACATTGGTAACACGTGGCATATTGCTGACATGCCAGCGGGAAAGAAGGCTCACACTCACGCTCACAGTTATTTAAGCATGGCATGCAAAGGTTACAACGACGTATTGAGCAACTAACAAGGGGTTGGGACTCGGGAGGGGATGACTGCAAGACAAAGAAGGTTCACAGTTTTCATGTCGCTAACTAGCAGTGACCAACCCTTCGTAACATTCGGAGCAGAGATTAGGCCCGGATTATGCTAGCCGGACTGTGCCTGTATGCAAACGCAATGGCATGGCACAGCAACTCTGCTCTGAAGGGGTTCCACCTCACGATTCAGTGGCATAATCTGTCTGATCTGCACAGGCAAAAGACAGCCTGGTCAGGTGGAGCAGGGGGGGAGGGTCAGATGGATTCTTCTCCTGAAGTGGCCGAGCTTGTGACTGCACATCCACGTACTGTTCCCAATTGACAAGCCAGACTGAGTGGGACTCCGCCACTCGCTGATGGTAAAGGGGGCCACCGAGTCAACACACTGCGATTATCCCACAGGACCCATGGATCATCCGCAAAGGCAAGAGCAACGAAATGATCTGGGTGATGACGCACACATAAATGCTCGAGACTATGTCAGGAAAGTAATTCCATAGAGCTGGTTGGAGTTGTAGTTGTCTTCCCACAAAAGCCATAGACGACACTCCCATTTTCAGGCCAACTGCAGAAATGTCACACTCTGGGCAAACAACATGCTGCTTGGAACAGGCCTAGCTCAGTCGGTGCACCCATGTACTGTTGAAATACAGACCCATGTTCGAATCCAGATGCAGTCAGATTAACAAAATAACATAGTTCTGAATTACCTAGAGCAGGTCAGTTCGATGATGATTAAGAAGAAAAAAAAAAAGGCAAACAACACGGTGTACGGTGTCCGGTGTCCGGTGTCCGGTCCTCATGTCCGGATTATGCGGAGCCAAATGGCCTCATTCTGCTACAGGGAGGCCAGTGCATTCTATGCCATTAAAGAGCCAATGGAGTTGCTAGTGCTAGAAGTGTCTGACAGAGACTGTCAAGGCTGTAATGAACCTCCATCTACCGTGCAATCTGCCGAGCCCAATAGCCTCATCCTGCAACAGGGAGGCCATTGCGCATACTATGTCATTAATGTGTCTCCTCACTTACAATTATAACCCCTATATTCTACATTGTTTCTGACTTTGCAGATATTGTCTGCTGGATAGAACTGGAGCACCGTGTTGTTTGCCAATAGCTTGGCAGTACTTGGGCTGACCTGCCCTAGGTAATTCAGCAGGGCCTCTGGTAATAGCTCGGGTGGGTGGTCGGCCCACTGTCTATGGATGTGTGGACTGATGTTGCCTGTGCTCCATGGTAACCGCCCGGGTTCCAGACAGTCCGGTGTCCGGTGTCCGGTGTCTGGTGTCCGGTCCCCATGTCCGGATGAAGGCCCCTGGGGCAAAAATCAAAAAAAAAATGGGGCGGCCCAGGACGTTTGTCCGGTCCTAGCCGCCCCTCAAAAAATAACGGGGTGATTTTGAAGTGTCCTTTCACCGGACATGGCCTAAAGGCCCAGACACAAGACACTGCAGGTTTTTGAGGTGGCTGGTTTAGCACAGGTCCGAGCAATTTCAAAGCGGCCATTTCGAGGTGGCGCCCGCCGCTTCTTCCCGTTGGGGAGAGAGAGAGAGAGAGAGAGAGAGAGAGAGAGAGAGAGAGAGAGAGAGAGAGAGCACTGACAGTGCTGCCAGTCTGAAGACTTCTGACGTTCTGAATTGAACTGCAAAGTTCGAACTTTGAAGTTATATATGAAGTTATGAACTTAAATTACTAAAATCCAAAGTTCAAAGTTCAAAGTTAATCATACTTTTTTCAAAAAAAAATTCTCTCTTTCTTTAGTCTTGTGCCTGCTTTGCACTGTTTGCAACTCTGCATGTCTGCTAGTTAAATGTGCTGGTTGATTTGCTGCAAGACACGTGCTCTGCTGCCTGAACTACAGAGTGCAAAGCAGGTAAGTGCCTGCCAACCCCCCCACCCAACCCCAACCCCCCCCCCCGTTTTTTTTTTTTTTGGGTCCGGACATTTTTGCACCCCGGGGACCAGTCCGGACTGGCTGGTGTCCGGTGATGTCCGGATCATCGGACAGTCCGGACCAGTCCAGACACGGGTCCGGAAGGCCGTCCGGAAGTGTCTGGTGTCCGGGTCCGGGGTTACCATGCTGTGCTCAGAATTGATATTCAGCAGCAACGAGCAAGTGGCCAGCGAACCATGTGACAAAACCAATCCATAGGTTGGGTACACGAGTGGGCAGCCAATGATGCCACACACAGAGGCCGTCTAACACATACACTGCGACATGGAAGTCGCTGCAACTTTGAGGTCAGCCCTTTCATTAGAGATATCCTTGAGCCTTGCCAGCTGACCCCTAAGCACGCCTGTCGGCTAATGAGCCGGGACATTGGAGGAAGTGCCCAGATAGCGTATGACTGGGAATGTCCAGGGCCTCAGCCTTATCAAATACATCAATGCGAAGCGAGCCGTTCCAATGAACTGACCGGTTCCCAGCACGTTAAGCTCCCCACAAATAGACTGGAGCGCGTCTTGGCAAAAAAACAGAAAAGAAGAAGAAGATTCTTGCCCCCAGGAAGAGACATGGACCATCACACTCTGTAGTGTCTTTCCACTCAAAACCATATCCAGCAGGCGGCGGCATAAAATTACTTCAAAATAGGATGTCATTAAAGAACTGAGACATGAATGCATATTCTTGTGCTGCATGCAGATCCCACTAACGAAGCTCACTGGTGAACTACGCGTCGTCCTAGTAGAGAGTACGGCGTAAGATTGTCAATTTCTGGTCCAATGTTAGTGGCTATAGGGATGCCAACCACTTGATGGCACAAAGTGCTATCCAATCCATAGAGGTAACTGTCAATATTGTTCTGTACAACACGGAAAGAGTGCCCAAGACAGGTGAAAGGCATAATGATGTGCCTCGTGAACAACATTAAAACTCTCTCTAGGCTACCAGCCAGGTCGCCCGGGTCACCTTGTTTTCCCGGGCAGCCCGGCCCTGCAAGGACCAAAGAAGGTCCAAGCATTAAAAAAAAATAAAAAATAAAAAAATCTGAAAACAAAAGTTATGCAGAAAAATAAACTGAACAACTTTTGCCTCAGGGTCACAGCGAAATTATTTACCAAATTTAAAATAAAAATAAATTAAAAATATATTTCCATCTGGTGTGAACCGTGTGGGTGAGTGATAGTCTGCTTTGATTTTCGTCACAGGTACCTTGACGGCAGTGGTTGGTGCCCACCTCAGGGTATCAGTTGTCAGCCATTCATTGATGCTTAACCACAACCGGGGTTAAGGTGGACTATCACTTAAAAGTGGAATCAGTTAGGGGATTCTGCAGACTGTTGAGGGTTCAGCCTCCTGATGAGTCGGTGAAACTCCGACGAAACAGTTCGTCACAGCCCCTCGTTTGTTGTCCTCTTCTCCCTCTCTGCCTACGGTTTCTCTGGTAGCCCAGATTAACACATTATTAAGGATCTTGTCATATGGCAGGTTGGTATACACTATTATTATAAAACCTGCTTTGTGACATAGACTGGCAAAGGGAATGCGGATCTCTGCTTGAGTTCCACAATGATTCCAAAACAGGATGTCATCAAAGAACTGAAATGCAAGTGCGTATTCTTGCACTGCATGTAGATTCCACTAACGGAGTTCACTAATGAACTCTGCCTCGCCTCACTAGACCATAAAATTGGCAATTTCAGGTCCAATGTTAGTGCATACAGAGATGCCAACCACCTGATAGCACGAAGTGCCATCCATTGCATAAAGGCAAGTGTTGTAGACCACAGACTGCTGATGTTGTCCCATATAGGACACTGAAAGAGTGTTGGAGACGTGTGAAGTAACCCACTCCGAATGATAAGGACCTTCAACTGTCGTGTACATTTGTTCTCCCATGTTCTAGAATCAACGCCATGCCATAATTATGTGGCTCAAGACCAACATTAGCACGTTGTGATTCTTATGAAGAATATGGTCATGTGGTAGGTTGGTATACGTTGTTGTGAAATCTGCTGAGTGTGGCATAGACAAGCAAAGGGAATGTGGACTCTGATAGAGATCCAAGACGATACATCGTTGATCTTGCTACTTATTTGAGCAGATCATGCCTTGGGAGAGAATAGCTGAGCGAGGAAGAGGCAATTGTTATGCTGGCAAAGGGTTTATGGGGGGGAGGGGGCTGCTATGAAGGTTTGAGAGTGAAGGGCGGCGATCCATTAAGTGACGTGCAAGGTGGGAAAGGTGGTTGTGCTGGGTAACCCCAATGATAGAACGAAGAGCAGGTGGACATGTATGGGCTTCAAGAGCAAAATAGCTGCAACAGCCTGCCCTGGCCCTGGTGGAGATAACCTTTTGATACAGCAGAGTGTAGGTGGTTCATGTGAGGGTCAACTTTCCACATCAGGCTGCTGTGTTTGTTGCTCATCTTGAAAGGATGGAGGAAATCCGATTACGGCAGCAGCCAGGCAATGCCCAACATTGCATCTGGGACACGAATGGAGAGTACGTGGCAGGTGATGGCATCTGGAATAGTCCACACAGTAAAGACACATACTTTCGATGGCAGCTTCCTGGAAAAAATGCCGACACCTGGCATGTTGTTGATATGCCAGCAGGAAAGTACAGTGACACTCACAGTTATTTGAGCATGGCGTGTCAAGGCCACAACTGTATATCAGGCAAACAATAAGGGGGTGGGGAGGATGAGGGGGATATAAGTACAAGGCAACGCGCACAGTTTTCGCAGCAGAGGCTGGCAGAGACCATCTCCTCATAGAGCAGAGATTATGTTGTGTGGATGCTAACCGAACTCTACATGTGCGGACGGACAATGTTGTGGCACAACCAACGTCCTCTGGAGGGGCCCTCTCACTATCCATGGCAGAATCTGTCTGATCTACACAGGGAAGGGATGTTGCCTGGCCATGTTCATGGGAGGGTCAACCAGATTGTAGAGCTTGTGAGTGCGCATTCCCATACTATTCCTGATTGACCAGCCAGAGCGAGTGGGATTCTGCCACTCGGTGATAGCAAGAGTTAATATTTTTTGCTGAGTGCACCCTACTGCTATTATCCCACAGGGTCCATTAATTATCCACAAAGGTAACATCAGTGAAATGACCCGGGTAGTGCAGGATGTACGCACAGATATTCGGGTCCATGCAAGGCATATAATTCTGTGGAGCAGGCTAAAAACTTGCAGTCGTCATCTTCCCATCAATGATATGAACAATACTTCTATTTTCATGCCAGACACAGTACTGTCATCCTCTGGCCAGACAGTATGGTGCTCCTCTTCTGTCCAGCAGACAATGTCTGCAAAATCAGAAAAAAAAGTATAGAGGTAGCAACTGTAAGTGAGGACAAACGCATTAATTAGTAATTACATAGTGTTCTCGCTGTAGTACTATGAGATGATTTGATTCTGTAGATTGCACGGTAGGGGGAGGTTCAGGCTCCTTTGGCTGTTCAAACTCCATTGTCTCTAGCATGCATTCCGGAGAGAGATCATCTCATCTCCAATCAGGGGTTCAATCATATGATCAGAGGGTGAATCTTTGTCAGTTGGAGTGGGGGAGCAAAGGGGCACGGTGGATTACAAGTGGCGGGATCAGATCCAAGAAAAGGAAGCTGGTCAGCCGCAGTTGTACTCAAACTTGTCAAAGTGGAATGCGAGCAGGAGAAGGAACAGGACGCAGTTGACGGAGAGTCTGTAGTCGAAGGTGTAGGTGAAGGAGCTGGTGGTGATGGTCGTGGTGGTGGTGGTGGAGGCACACTTTCAGCAGCAGCTGCATGCAGCCATTTCGACAACATTTATGTTGCGTGCTACAGCTGGCCGGGTTTCCAGCCGAGTTGGAGTATACACATTAGCAGCTGCCATTCCAGTAGTAATACAAGGGAGGGAGGGTCCGCTGTGTGTGGCTGTGTGGAGGGCTGATAATGCTTGTCCTTAGAATTGGCATTCGGGAATGGGTGGGGGACCACTGCGTGTGGATGTGTGGAGGGCTGATGCTCCCTGTGCTCTAATTGGCATTCAGTAATGGGTGAGCAATTGACCAGTGCACCATGCTGCGAAACCAGTTCGTAAGCTGGGTGATATAAGTGGGTCGGTGACACTACCGGCCATGCACATAAGCAGTCCAACTACCGGCCATGCACATAAGCAGTCCAACCTCCGCCAAGGACACTGTGGGGATGCCCCCTAATGGCTTTTGTGTCAATGAAGTCACCGCCGCTTTGAAGTCGGTAATATAGTTACAAATATGCTCCGACCTCGTTAACTGTCTCGTGAGCACACCTGCAGGCTGACGAGCTGTGGCATTGGAGGAAGCACCAGGATAACATGTCACAGGGAGTATTCATGCCTCATCCTTATCAAACACAGCAATGAGAACTGGGCTGTCTGGCCGAACGAAGATTCTTGCCCTGAGGAAGAGACATGACCCATTCCGCCCAGTAGTGTCTTTCCACTCAAGACCGTGGCAAGCAGGAGCGGGCGAGAGATTTATTCCAAGACAAGATACTATGTCATCAATGAACCAATATGCTTGAGGTGCACATAGATCTCGCTGACAAACTTCATCGATGAACTGTGCCGGCATCCTTCCATAGTATGATGCAATTCTCCTGGTGATAACTGGAAGTGTGATGGGATGCTACGGATATGCAAATGCACATGGAGGCGACTTCATGCTCAAGAATGCTTAAAGAAAGCATGGAAATAGAAGGCTGGCAATGTTCAAGCTGGCCCAGAGAATGACATGTTGCATTCTTAAATAGTCTAAGAGTGGACGTGGTGCACCCGATGCTGATGCTGGTGAAAACATAATACTTTATCCAGACCACCGACCGCCCAGAAGAATGCAAGAAGCCCACCTTTTCATTCATGGCTTGGGCTAGTGCAAGTTTTTGCTCCTCAAACTTGTCCCACTGCTCCCTGCCAGGTTTCCCCTCAGCACTAACTTCCAGTGCTTTCTGAGATACCGCAGCACACACAGACATACCCACACACACACACACACACACACACACACACACACACACACACACACACACACACACACAATCATGGACCAATTCAGACCATTCGCAAACCAACAAGCAAACACAGGTACATAGACAGAGTCCGTAAGCAGTGGAATCGCCACAAAAGAAATGAGCAGTAGTTGCGAGGGTCAGTTGGCAAGGGAAAACAACAGATGAGTGCACCAGTCCGTCCTTCCCTGCACCCACTGAATGACTGTGTAAAAGTCTGTCGAAATGAGACCACACACTCATGTGATTGCCGCCCATAGTAACAGTGATTGTGACAGCGACCAACCACGTCATTGCAAAGACATGCACATAATCATCCTCCCATTCATGAACCAGGTCAGCCTATCGGCAAACCAACACACACACACACACACACACACACACACACACACACACACACACACACACACACACACACACATGCACACACACAACAGAGGCACATCCAACAGCATCCGTAGGCAGTAAAATAGCCACCAAAATAACGTAAGCCCCAGTGCCAGTTGATAATATTGCAATACCCCGCTCAATATGCTCTGAAGTGGCCTAAGGCCACACACAGGCCGCAACCCCAGTCTGAGGCCGCAAGGGCCAAGGGGAGGAAAACCCTTGGATTGGCCCTGGGCCTGTGCACCCGACAGTTGACTTTGGTCAACTGCCGAGCGGCCCAAGAGTCAAAGTCTGCATGTACCCAGCCCAGGCTGACGGTCAGAGACACACGCTTGTTTGTATGCAGGTACCAAGGGGAGGAAAACCCTTGGATTGGCCCTGGGCCTGTGCACCCGACAGTTGACTTTGGTCAACTGCCGAGCGGCCCAAGAGTCAAAGTCTGCATGTACCCAGCCCAGGCTGACGGTCAGAGACACACGCTTGTTTGTATGCAGGTACCAAGTGAGCATCAGGACCAAGTGGAAGTCTGCAACTGTACGCAATCCAGGCCCTCGGCTGTGAGTCAACCTGAGCCACCGTTGGTGGGAGACCTGAGGCCGGTCAGCCTCGTCAAACATTACATAAGGCCTGGCCTCCACAGAGTATACATTCAGTCTTGCTATGCTGCCTTGATGCTGGCTGACGCTGGCTGGACGCTGGCTTGACGCTGGCTGTGCGCTGGCAGTGTGGACGATGCGAGACTGCTGCTGCACGCTGGCGCCTTTCTACTTTGGTGCCAGCCTATGCTGGCGTGGCGCAGGGCCACACTGTCTTCAACATTGCTGATGTGGCGCATGCCGCTCTGTCTTCATTGCTGACGTGTCATTTGCCACATTGTCTACATTGCTGAATTGGACACGACAAGGAGGGAGATCAGGATCTGTGGATGATTGAGAGGGAACAGAATACTTACCTGCGGTTGATGTAGATACTGTGCGCTGCTGATTGTCTCCAACGTTTTCACGAGAGAACTGTGCCACGTGGCACTTCGATGTGATCAGGATCTGTCAGGCTCGTTACTGGATACAGTTTTGCTGACGTGGAGGAGAAGGGAAGCCCGGAGAAGGAGTGGGAACTGTTGGGCTACTCTCTTTGTGGTCATTGATGGTTACTATCTCTTCCACCTTCTTATCTGTCTATTCCCTCTTCACTCTCTTCGTCTACAGGAAACGAGACATTGTTCAGAGTTGACTTACTTTGTATTTCGACATCTGGCGAGTATCTTACAGACTGGGTTCATTACAACACAGGTAATTAAGCAGTGGATAAGCCTACACTATTCGTCTGCTTCTCTGAAAGCAAAGAGAGTCAGTGTGCGCTCGTGATACTCCAGTCGAACACAGTAGACATATCGATGGTGAAATGACAGGTGGGCAGCATGGGGGCATAACGATCATGATCAGTGCCAGGCCAAGTAAAGCAGAACCAAGCTAACCGAGCGGGAGCAAGGCAAACCAAAACGGCATGCCTGGACCTCCCAAACGGCCCCTGGGGGCACCGGACTGGATTTTGGGCACCCTATGGCTGTGCCCCCCAGTTTTTATCGGCCATAGGGCTGCAGAACATTTTCCGCCCCTTGGGTCATTGTTTTTTTTTCTTTCCTTTCTCTTCTGCTGGGCCATGCTAATCTTCTCTGTATCGTTCCAATTTTAGGATTGCCCCTTGATTCATTCTTTCAGGCATCCTGTGTTATTTCATTTTCACAAAGTTGTCCATGTTCTCAGATATTTTGTCTCTTTTTTTTTAAAACAAAACAGGGCCTTATGATCCTGGCTCCATGTCCATTCTGGGGAACATCAGTTCGGTTCCTTTTCCCCCGGCAAGTCATAGAATACAATACAATAGTCCACACACTCACACTTCCTTCCGTCTGGCTGAAGTACCCCCTGAACAGCATTGCTCTGATCACTGGGAGGATTAACTGTAAGCTTGCCATCCGTCTAGGACTCCTCTCAGCTACTGTTAGCACTAGCTGCCATATTGATCTTGTGAAACAAGATTCCGTAAGGACGGTCTGCCTCGATCATCTCCTTGGTTGATGCCCAAACCTTCTGCCGTGGATTCTTCGTACCTTCAAGTGTTCTGCTGCATCTCTCTTTCCATATGGCCCACAGTGTGACCTTGAGAATCATCCCAAACCAGATCTTTTCTGGTTTGGTAAATTAGTCCAGAGTTGTAGGTGGAGGGGGTGTTCAGGGAACGGAGAAGAGAATAAACTGTCCCATAGGGCTACGTCCCTGGCCCAATATTCTGTGGCTTCTTTGCAGTTGATTAGACAATGAATCAAGTATTCCCGTTCTTGATCCGAGCAGACTACGCAGACATCAGGGTTGATGTTCCGAATATGGGGTTTTTCTGGTTTGGTCTTCAGAATCGGAAAGGAGGTGTCCTTCGGGACATCCGTTAAAATTGGAACGATACAGAGAAGATTAGCATGGCCCCTCCGCAAGGATGACATTTAAAAAAAATATAAAAAAATCAGAAAGGAGGTGAAGATGTCTTGAGGACATGGTCCTGGCAGTCGATGGGAGAATTGATAGGCCCTTTCCAGGGAAGTGTTCTGGATTGGGACTCCCCATTCACCCGGCTTCCACGTAAAGTCCTCCTTAAGTAGATGTACTCAGCTGCCAGGGATACTCTGTATGATCTTTTGTAGATTTTCGTCCCTGTAGTGGCATCCTTTCAGTCATGTTTTGAGATCGTTTCCATTCAACCAGTTCTTTTTTCCCTCGTTCCAGATGTCTGCCACTCGCCAGACGTCGTGTTTAATTCATGATAGCCATCTGTTGCCTCTGCAGGACAGTGTCCACAGGTGATCAGCCTCGTCTCTGATCCAGGGGTTCCCAAAGAGAGGCTGCCTGAGCACTTCTTCTTTGGACCTGGGTTTGTTTCGCTTCTCGGGCATGATCTGTCTCCAGATCCGTATCAGGGCTGTCCAGTAAAGGAGGGGGGGTCTGATTATGATTTGGAGGTGTGTGTCTTCCGTGTCTTCTTCTCCCTGCCTTCGTGCTCCAGTCTTTGTTCATGACCCAGAACAGTCCGGACATGTTGGCTGGGGACTCCGTGGGGGCCAGATTCCTGAGGCTATCTAGTGCTAGTTTGTTCCAGGGAAGATATTGCTTAGTCAGCTTAAATATCCACTTGATGTGAAGGGGTTTGGTTTCTAGTCTGGGGTCAATGATACCTAGCCCTCGAGAGGTTTGTTTCCTTCTGATATAGTGCCATGCTATCTTTGGGATGTAGTTCTCTGTTGGGGTCCCCTGACCACAAATAGGTTCTGGCTTTCTTATTAAGATCTTTGACTGTCTGATCTGGTGTGGTCCAAATCGATGCTATGTACCACATCATTGAAAATATGAAGGTGTTGATGGTAAGTGCACTGTCCAATAGTGACGTAAATGCTTGACTCCATTTTCCCATCTTGTCGATTTAACTGGTCAGTAGGTGCAGAGCCATCCTCCGTTACTTGAATCCTCAGATATCTCATAAAGGTCTCTGGTTTCTCCCATGACATCTGATTCTCCGGTTCTTGGAGGTGGGGGACGGGCTCGTTGGACAACCACCATCCTATCGTCTTCACCCAATTAATCTTCATTTTGATGCTAGTATGAATGCTTCCATTGCTCTGACTAACGCCGCCATGGATGAGTTCGAGGCTCATATCAACGTCATTAGATAGTGTGCAAACATGTTGACTGTTGAAAATGACAAGTGGTGTGAGGATCCCACATTCATTTCTGGTAGTCTTTGGATAGAGGAGTCTTTGCGGAGGAAGGAGGCTATGGCCTCCATCACGAAAAGGAAAATCAGCGGTGCTAGCGAGTCTCGTTGTCTCACTGATCTGGAGAAGCTCTCGGAGAGCAGCCCATTGACCTGAACACAGCCGGAGGCGTTGTTGTATAGGACACACACCCATTTCCTGAAGTTAGGGCCTACCCCCATTCTTTCCATGTGCCTGGAGGAGATCCCAGTTTACCTGGTCATAGGCCTTCTCGAAGTCGAAGAAAAGAATTATTGTGCTGATTTGTTTCTCCATCACTTTCTTGGAGGCCTCGTTCAGAGTCATTACATTGTCAAGGATATACCTTCCTGGTATGAAACCAGACTGGTCTATGTGAAAACATTTGTTTGTTACATCCAAAATCCGCAAGGCTAAGGCCTTGGCCAATGTAGGGAAGTGTGAGTAGGGATATCGGTCTATAATTCTTGATGTCTTCCTGGTCACCCTTCTTGTAAACTAGTGTAACCACACTGGTACCGAGGAGCTCGCCCATGCCCTCTTTCTCCCAGCTTTCGTTATAGAAGTTTATGTGGTCCGACCCCAATAGAGGCCAACATTTCTCCCAAAACTCCTTTGTCAGTCCATCTATATCAATGGTCTTGTTATTGTTCATGTTCCTAACCGCGAACTGAAGCTCTTCCATAGACAGTGGCCTATCCAGCTTGTCGGATTGCTCTTTTGATATTGTTCTGTTTAGGTATTGTAGCATTTTGGATCTGGTTGGATCTGG